ACCCGCTTAAGCAAATCGATGATCAACGAGATAAGTGATACAAGCGACACAGAAGGTAACAGAACCTCATATACTTGAGTCCAGCAAGTTCAAATGCTATCAAGAAACAAATGACAAATGTTGTCATGTCCCTTCCAAAACCATGCAGTTTGTTGCAAAGAAGCTGTTTGAAGCAACTTCCAGAAATGGCATCTACCAGCATCAAGGCAGATGCAGAAATGACCACAAATAGAACCTTCTGTGGAGAAAGAGTGGGAGAAGTTAAATTGTTCAATTTAGATGCTTGACACCTGCTTAGGGGGATCTAGCCTGAAAAAACCTAGCTATTTGGGGGGAGTCTACATACATTTTACAAAAGACATGCAGAGACTATTATAGCAGCTGAGGCTTTCTTATGAAAACAAAAAAAAAGAAAAAGTGTCCCAAAGAAACTTGCCCTCTTCTCTCTTCAGCCTAGAATAAGGGGCAATTTGGAGGGCCGACTTTCCTTTTGACCCATGTCAAAACATGGTAAGCAGTGTCAAGTGCACTAGTTTCCAGTGCACGAATTCCCCCGCATAAGCTTGGGACTTAAGACTTATTGATGGGAGAACCACAAGGATTTGTCAGCCTGACCTTGAGTAACCAGCTTCAGTGCAAGTGAACAAATGAACGGGGTCTGCGGGGGGACCTCAACACCTCATCTGATCCCCAATATTCATTCTCTGTTTATGTTTCCAGTTTGGGGGCTACACCTAGCTCAGGGCTTACCCCTGGCAATACGGCAGAGGTGGGTAGGAGCTAAGTGTGGTGTATGTACGGTATATGTGGCGCCAGGGTTCAAACCTCAGTCGACAACGCTTTAACACCCCCTCCCCACCCCACCCCCTGTAGTTTACATTTGGGTAGAATGCACACAGGCACTGCTGTGGCTCTTTTCATTCAAAGATCACACTCGGCCTCACTTCACTCATCATCTAAACATCCTCTGCTGAGACTGGAGCTACAGGACAGCAGGCAGGGTGGCTGCCTTACACACGACTGACCCAGGCTTGACCCGGGCATCCCATAAGGTCTCCCAGCCTGGCCAGGAGTGATCCCTGCGTGCAGAGTCAGGAGCAGCCCGAGCACCCCTAGATGTGACCCCAAAACAAACCCAACAAACCCCTCCCCGCCAACATTTTGTTTTTCAGTTTCAAGCGAGACATCCTCTCGTGGTCCAATAGAACCATCGGGGCTGCCTACTGCGGTCAGCCAATCTTTCTCTGATTGAAAACAGCTGTAGGTGTGACGCCTCCACCCACACACGGAAAATAACTAAGAAAAGTTGTTTTTCCAAACAGGTTTTAGGGGGCAGATTGCTACTCCTTGGCAGTGCCCTGGACACATGCTGCGTTGTCCTAGGTGGGAGAGAGGGGAGGATGTTGCCACTTGCAGAGGAGTGGGGAGGAGGGAAGCTGCTCATCACCCCGCACAGGGCACAGGGCGGCCGAGTGTCAGTGGGGAGACAGCGGGCCCCTCCATGGAGCCCTTCGTTCTGTGTGCCCAGTTTGGCCATGCACGGCCGGAGACCAAGGAAGGAGCCCCGAGGAGGGGATCGGGGCCTTGCGGGGTCCTGCACGCCACCCTTGGAGGGGCCCGCTGCGCGTTTGGGAGATAAAGGAGAAAGGCAGATTTTCATCTTGCGCACGGTTACAACGGGGCTGGCTGGAACCAGGAGTCCCCGGTTTCCCGACCAGCTTCTTACCTGCCCTTGCCCGATCCACAGACGAGGCTCCCCTGAGGCCTCAGTTTCCCCACCCGGGCATGGGCGGGCCGTCCCCCTGCGGGAGTCCCACCTAATCGTCAACAGGCATAGCCGGCCCGGGCCTCAGTTTCCCATCCTGTCCTACAGACCCGGTCACCCCGAGGCCCAGGGAGGCCGAGCGGACCGCAGACGTGCCCGGGGGGAGAAAAGACAGTGGCGGCCGCAACAATAACGCCAGGGAGGGCTCCCTGTGGGCCTCCAGACCCTCCTGGCGACTGCGACGCCCCCAAGGACTAACTCCGGACAAGGAGGTGCAGGCCCAGGGCCCGGAGGCCCGTCCGCCCCCAACCGCCACCTCGGCTCGCCCAGGCCGCGCGCCGCGCCCCCCCTTCCCCTGCGCGGGCCCGAACCGACCTGCGGCCGCTCCCCGAACGCCCGGGGCCACGCACTCGGGCTCCTCCAGCATCGCCCCGGCGGCGGCTCAAGCTCCCCTCAGGCGGCTGTGGCGCGGGCTCCGCTCAGGCGGCCGCTGCTGCTCCGCGTCCCGCCCGCGCCGCTGCTGCCGCGGCCGCCGCGCTCGTATTTGGCGGGAACCGCGGCGACCCCTGCAGTCCGCGCGCCGATTGGAAGAGGCGGTGCCACGTGACCGCCGGGGAGCGCCTGGACAGTCCTCGCGAGACCCGTGATTTCCAGCACTCCCCAAATTTCCCCTTATTGATATTCCCGCGGTGGGGGCGGGGCTTCCCCTCGGCGACCTGTCATTGGCTGGGAGGAAGTGCCTCGCGATTGGAGGCGGAAGGTGTCCGACTAGCGTTTGAAACGGTGATTGGCTAAGCGCGTGGGATAGGTCGGTAAGAGGCGGGAATGCGGGTCTCCGACGTCAGGACGAAAAGTATTTCCTTTTTTTTTTTTCTTTTCGGGTCACACCTGGCGATGCTTAGGGCTGACTTCTGGCTCTGCACTCAGGAATTACTCCTGGCAGTGCTCGGGACCCTATGGGATGCCGGGAATCGAACCCCGGGTCGGTCGCGTGAGAGGCAAACACCCTACCCGCTGTGCTATCGCTCCAGCCCCTGGAAGCATTTTCTAGATTACATATTCAGAGGGAATACACGAAATGATGTTTCTGGTATAGTTCTCAGGATTTTTTGTTTTTTTTTTGGGTCACACCTGGCGATGCACAGGGGTTACTCCTGGCGGTGCTCAGGGGACCATATGGGATGCTGGGAATCGAACCCAGGTCAGCCAGGTGTAAGGCAGACGCCCTGGCCGCTGTGCTATCTCTCCAGCCCTGTTCTCAGGATTTTTGTACATACATTTTCCTCCCTAGAACAACCGTCTCTGCAGATCTTTTCCTGGCTAACGCGATATTAAGTCTACATCTTTAGACTTTTTCCCCAATCTCCAACAAGATGAAGTGTTTATAACACCTTTATTTGAGGCAATTGCAATGTTTTTTTATCAGCTTGTTGTTAATTTACTTACGCTTTTGTCAGCAGTTGTTTGAGGACAGAAATCACAGTATTTCCAGAACCTATACTGGCTTGAAGTGAATCTATAGTAGAAGGTGGTCAGTATATATTTGAGTGAATACATAATAAATAATATTTGATGGACTATGTGGTCATGTAGGTTAGAAAAATGCCGCTGAATGAGCCGGTAATGATTTCAGCTTAGCCATAGAACATTTGTTGTCTTGAATGTGTGAGATCCCTGGCACCAGAAAAAATTCTCACTCAGAACAGATAAAAACTTTCTGAGTCAGCAGAATGTTAGAAATCACCACCCCACCCCCACAAACACCAACATCAAATTTAATCTCTAGCAGAGTAGAAATGAGAAAACCAATATCTAGTCCTCATTTGAGATGCTATTCCTCACTTTGATTGTATAAATAGAATCATTCCAACAAATAGAATTGGATGAAAACAATGTGCAGAAATAAAGAATGTCACTTTGAGCAAAATACATTTTACTCAGTTTCCCCACTTCCCCATCTGAATCATGAGTATGTCTCCCTGCCTCTTCTTCTCTGACATTCCGCAGTGGAATGGAAATTTCACAGGAAGTTTAAAAAAAAATTTCACAGGAAGTTTAAAAAAAAACTATAAATAGACTCATTTAGGTTTTGGGATAGGAGTTTGGTGCAATGCCTAGACTGAAACAATTCTCTTATCTAGTCAAGCACCTTCCATTAGACATTTTGAAAGTTCCAGTTAACTTCTGTTTTAGAAAATCACTTAAATTTGTTAGTGATTTCAGTACTGAAGTTGGAAACACTTTAGCTCTTATCTAGTCTCTTTGTTGTTCCTCTTTTCTGGATTCATTTACTCATCCTGATTCATCATTAATTTCCAATTCATTTGATACATCTTTTTTGTTGTTTTTATGGGTACGATTGAACCCTTAGTTTCTTCCATGCAAAGCACGTACCCCAAACTGTTGACAATTATCTCTCTGACCCCTGGACACATTTTTTTAAATTGATACAATTGATTAAAAGCAAAACCTAGAAAAACATATGCTCGCAGGAAGGCTCCCCAGAGCAAATGAAGTTCCACAGAGTCTACTTTAGCATTCCTTATGCACAAAAAATAAATGGGGTGAAAGATTGGGGAAGAATGTATGAAAGGAACAATTACAAGAAGAAAGCTAAAGTCAGAAGCACTGACTGAGGCAAATTATGCAAGCTTTGTTACCTATGTTCGGATGTTGGGAGGGAATTATATTGGCCACCTTGGAGTGGATAAATTGGAAGTGAGAACCTGAAACCCATCATACCAGAGGAAGCTAGTGGGTTGGTCAATAGGGGAGAAAGACACTAGGGAAAAATTGAAAGGAGGTAAAAAGGGACGCTGATGGGCAAGAGAGATTGAACACCGCCAAGCTGGAGGGTGCCGGTAGGACCTCAACGCATGAAGAACTGAGTCTCAGATTTGCAAACAGCTGAGATCAGTAACTTTTGTTTTGTTTTGTTTTGTTTTGAGATCAGTAACTCTCTTGACCTCCCCGGGAAAGTTCAAACACCTTTCCGAAATTGTTAGGGCCACCTTCAGGACTCCAGGGGTCGCTGCAGTCCCCCAAGGAGCCTCTCTAGGCTCGCCGCGGCGTCCACTCGCCGTTCTCGCGGCGGGGTGAAGAGCGCGTGCGCCGGCCGGCCGGCCAGCTGGCCGGCAGGGGGCGCGCGTGCGCACAACGGTGCGGGCGGCGGGGCGGGGAGGGCCGCGGGGGAGGTTGAGGCCGTGGGGCGCGCGCGCGCGCGCGCGCTCACGGCGCTCGTGCGCGCGCAGGCACCGGAAGTGTGCGGTTGCCATGTAATATCCTGGCGGCGCGGGCGCGCGAGCTTCTTGAGGCGGCGGCGGGGCGGCTCGGCAGAGCGGGCGGTGGAGGCGGCGCCCACCGGGACCCGCTGAAGGCGCTCGCGGCCCAGTCGGCGGCGCCGGCGAGCCTGTCGCTTGTTCGCTCCGTCCGCTTCGCTGCGTCGGGCGAGGAGGCCCGACGGCGGGAGGCAACATGTCGGTGGCGGGACTGAAGAAGCAGTTCTACAAGGCGAGCCAGGTGAGCGGAGGCCGGGGCGGGGTGTGTTTGTGGGGGGGGGAACGGGGTGCCGCCAGGAGTTGGGGATCGGGGGGGGGAGGGCCCCGGGGGTCCTCGAGAAGGCTGCGCGGACGCGTGTCCCCCGGCCTGGGAGGACGGGGTCTGCCTTCGGGGGATCGGCGGGGTCGGCGGGCCCCCTCGAGGTGGCCCCGAGGCGCGGTCCCGGTTTCAGCGCCGGTGGGGGGGAGAAAGGGAAGAAACGGGGCCACCGGCCGTCGACAGTCGCCAGACAGCCCGGGGGCAGGGAAACTTGGGGCGGTTTCCCGCTTCTGAGGAAGAGACAGATCCTTTCCGTGCCCCCCACTTCGAGCGTTCTGAGGAAAGCGAGACGGCGGGGAGGGCTTGCTCTCTCCCCAGAGACGGGGACCACCGAGATTGGGGGGGGGGCGGCCAGAACTTGGAAACACAAGCAGCCGCAGTTTTAGTGGAGTTTTAGTGGCGGTGCCAAAATTCACTGCTGCGAGTCCCCGGGCCTCTTTGGTTTCGTTTTTTTGGGGGTCACACCGGGCTGTGCTCAGGGATCGCTCCCGGTGGTGCTGAGGGCTGCGGGGACTGGACCCAGCGTTGACGGGGGCTTCTTTGCGGCTGCTGGAGCTCGAGCCCTGGGCTGGCAGCGTGCGAGCGAGCGAGCGCCGAGCTGCTGCCGGCGCCTCCTTTTCTCTCCCCGAGACTCTGCTTTTCTTCATGAATCGTGCCTTGGAGTTCGCTCACACTTGGATTGGAATCTCTGCTGCGGGTCGTGCTTCTCTGGCAGGCGGCCTGGGTGCTGTCAGGGCGTGGGGTCGAGTTGCATCTCTGGCCCCTGGAAGCACCCCCAGTTCTGACAGCTATTCCACTCAAAATTGCCAAATTTCCCCAGGGGGCGCCCCCCTCCCCTCGGCTCCCCTCCAGAGCTTTTGCCCTACAAACTCACTTGTAAAACTTTGAATCTTTTGCCAGGGGCATCGCGCTGGGTGGGGGCTCGGGGCTGACTCCTTGCTCTGTGCTCAGGGATCACTACTGGGGGTCCTCAACGAACCATATGGGGTGCCGAGGATCGGACCCGGGTTGGTTGTGTGTGAGGCAAACACCCTCCCCGCTGCACTATTCTCTGCGATGCGGGTGGGGTGCCTCTCCAAGATAACAGCTTAATTTTGTTTTGGGATTCTTTTTTGTTCTTTAGGGTTTTTGTTTGTTTGTTTTTTTGGCTTTTTGGGTCACACCCAGCGATGCTCAGGGCTGACTCCTGGCTCAGGAAGCACTCCTGGCAGTGTGCGGGCGGCCCTATCGATGCTGGGGATCAAATCCAGGCCTGCCTCATGCAAGGCAAAAACACACTCCCGGCTGTCCTGTCACTGGCCCAGAGAGTGTAGCTTCAATGGGCCAGATAGCTCCACAGGTCAGGAGTCAGGTGAAAGGGGGTGTCTGTACGCCTCAGGCTGGCCACATGCCAAGTTCAGGCTGTCACTTCAGATCCAGGAAGCTGCAGGCTTCGCGAGCATCAGGTGTGGATCTGGGTGGCTGCACTCCCCAGAAGAGTGATTGGCAGTATGGGGAATTGTGTGGGCCCAGCTGGCATACCTACAATCTGGAGAGGGCAAGTGAATGGGAGGCGGGGTGGGGGAGAGTCCGGTAGCGTGCAGCTGGTCCCTTTGCTCCTTCAGGGGGCAAAGGAAGGACCTAGGTGGTGAGCGCGGGATGAGCTACTTGGAGTCTGTGTCTTGTGCTCTGGAGGAAGCAGAGGATCGTGGTCCCAGCCAGCTCCGTGGCCTGGGCCAGGCGTCAGCTGCGCCGGGAGAGCACTGTGCATGTCTCTGAACCCCACCGGCCAGCCACGTCCCTGTAGTTGTTGGGAGAATTCCTGGGCCTCCTTGTTCCTTCACGTGCTGCCTTAGGGCACTCAGGGCTCGAGCTGGTGGCCTCAACTGTCCCCAGCCAAACATCTGCTGCCGGCACTTGGGATCTGCGCGAAGCGGCTGGAAACCTGGAAAGCACCACCCGCCCCTGGAGTGTGCACATGGGCGGGCCGCATCGATCCCCTCCCGCAGCATTCCTGGGCCTGGCTGCTGGCCACTTCCTGCCCACTCCTGTCACAGTCTTGGCCTCCTGCTCCAGTTCTCGATGGGCTGCACTCTGGGGAGCCACGCTGGCTGCCTTCCACGCTCTTCCGCGAGGGTTTCCACAGCCTCCCCAGCTGCTGCTGCTGCTGCTAGAGTTGATGTCCTCATCTGGGTGTTTCTTTTCCCCTTCTCAGGGACCCTCCCACCCCCCACCCCCACCATGGTCTCATGCACCCTCACAGTGGGGTCGACCACCTGCCAGAGTGGTGTCTTTTGTCACGCAGCATCAGTGAATGCTATTGGCTTCTTGTTGTTGTTGTTTTAAGTTTTGGGGCCACACACAGCAGTGCTCAGGGCTTACTCCTGACTTGGAGCTCAGGAATCACTTCTGGCAGGATTCGGGGAACCGTTTGGGATGCTTGGGGATGGAACTGGGGTCAGCTGTGTGCACGGCTCTGCAGCTTGCTTACTGATTTCCATGTAAATAGACATTGCTGTCACCCCCCCAGTCTCTTTGACCTTCCCTGGGGTGGGGGTGGGGGTGCAAGGGTTAATTTCCCACTCCACAACACAGATGGCACTAGGGACAGGGATCTTGACAGGACTGTGGTTCTTAGCCAACGCCAGCCCCCTGCCCTATCCGCAGCATCTGGAGGTGTTTGTGGGTCGTCAAAAGCGGGGGTGTTCCTGGCATTGAGTGGGCAGGGGCTGGGGGTGCTGCTCAACATCCAGCAGGACGCGCAACCCACATACTTCACCCAGCTGTCAACAGGAGCTGAGATTGTTGAAGGGAACCTGTCCTCTGAGATTTGCCAAGAGCAGTCGCCCCTGGGGAGTCTGTGGAAACCACACAGGGCCAGGGCCTTGGGACAGCCAGGAGGGGCGGCCCAGGTTCGATCCCCGGCATCCCATAGGGACCCCGAGCCTCGCCAGAAGTATCTCCCTGAGCACAGAGCCTGGAGTAACCCCTGAGCATTGCCGGGAGTGGCTCCAAAACAAAGCAAAACGGAACAAAAAAGAACAGGATTCCTCCCCTCAGCTCCCAAGCTTGGCAGCTCACATTTCCTCCTTGTCAGAGCGCAGGGGGCAACATGTGTCCGGGTCAGGGAGGGTTTGGGGTGTGGGACCCAGGAAGCAAAGAGGGGGCCGGCCCTGGGAGTGCCAGGTTCTCAGGGGTCCAAGGGACTGTGCCCCAGTTCCCACCACCGGGTCCACCCTAGTCTGGTTCACCGTGGGCGGTAATTTTCAGGTTGCAGTTTGAAAAGCCGGGGCTTGAGGGGAAAGTGTGGAGTCGGGGAGTTCTCCTTTCCCCAAGGGTCGAAGAAGATTAGATGATTCCGTGCCAACGGGGAAGAGGGGGCATCTGCCTGGGGCACCCCTCTCGATTGCTCCCCATGCGTACCTCACTGGGGCCTTTTGGGGTGTTTTGGTGGGGTTTTTTTTCCTCTTTTGGGGCCACAAACAGCTGTGCTCTGGGTTCCCTTCTGATCGTGTTGGGAGGAAGGGCCCTGTGCAGGCCCTGTGCAGGCTCTGAACCAGGTCAGTCATGTGCAAGAAGGCAGGCAGCACCTTACCCCTCTGTCCAGGCCCTCCAGCCCCAGAGGGGGAACGTTCTGGAAGCTCAGGAGGGCAAAGGAACCCAATGTGTAGATGTAGCCCTGCGTATGGTCTTCTCCCGGCAGGGTGGGTCTGGTGTGTATCTGTGTCTGTGTGTGTGTGTTGTGGTGTGCTTGCACACTTGCTCACCATCTGGGTCTCCAGACCTACTCTGCCAGCTAGTTTTCTGATAATTCTTGCACTGGGCCGCCCAGATGGGAGCATGTACTGAGAGTTCAAGTAGGCAGCCGCTCGGAATGCTGGCCTGGTCTAACCTCCTCCTCCTCCTCTTCCTCCCTCCTCCTCCTCCTCTTCCTCCCTCCTTCTCCTCCTCTCTCTTTTTTTTTTTTTTGGCCAAAAGGAAGGAGAGGATTGAGTTGGAAGTAACAGATTGGTTCCGTCTGAGTGGGGAGGGGAAGGCATGACTGCCGTGTCCCAGAGCTTGGAAAGTGGTGACATGTTTCCTTGGCGCCTGTTTCCTGCTTGAGAGGTAACTTCCTCCAAGCGGCACTGGGGGGACAGGGAGGGGGTCCGGAGGATGTGGCTGGGTTTCTGACATGTCCCCAGGCACTGCTTATTTTAGACCTCACCGAGTAGCATCTTGCTTTGGATTTGTGGGTGGGGCGTTTCTGGGGCCCGTTCCCGAATACACGGGCACAGTCTGTATATGCTTGGCTTTGGAGGGAGGGCCGGGCTAAAGCTCTACACTCAGGAATCCCTCCTGACAGTGCTCAGGGGAAAGTATGGGATGCTGGGGATCGAACCTGAGTCAGCCAGGTGCATGGCAAACACCCTCCCCACTGTCCTGTCGCTCCAGCCCAGAGCCCCTCAACCTTGGTGTGTGTGGGAGTGCAAGAAGGATGCCCCCCCTCAGCAGTGGGGGCGGGGGTGGGCTCGCTTCAGAAGGTGCCTCTCTGGGCCCCCGGTTGTGGGAAGGCCACGAGGACAAGTGATGGAAACTGGGTCACGTTCACGGTCCCAGAAGCCAGAGTGATAGGACAGCGGGAGGGCTCTGGCCTTGCATGTGACCCACCTAGGTGATGTCCCGGACACCCAGCATCCCTTAGGGTGTCCAGGACATCACCAGGAGGGATCTCTGAGCACTGAGCCATGAGGAAGCCCTGAGCAATGCGGGACGTAGCACAAAGTTCACCATCTCCAGTGGCTCTCCCCACTGGTCCTGTCAGACACCTCCCCGGGACCCTGGTAGGTGCTTTCCATCCTTCCTCGGGGTGCTTGGCCAGGGACAGATGATCCAAACGTTTGAGGCTCCCTGGCTCCCCCGCCAGGAACCTCCTGAAACCCATAGATAGTCCAGCCAGCCAG